AGGTGATATCTGTGGAGAAAGGATGAAATAGTATAGTAAACTCAGCTTTAAAGTTATGGCACGCACGTGTGCAAAGGACCTTTTTAAAAAATACCTAACTACAACTATTTTCAAGGGAGAAGAAAGTAGGATGATTACATTTCTGGTTTTGGCAATGACAGTATCAACAAGACACCAGAGTATACAGTCCAGGTACCAAACAAAAGAAATCTGATGTCTGTAAATACATAACTAAAGGAATATGATTTTAGCTTTTTATGATTCACGTACATTTGATATTAGCACATTTTGGCCTGTGCTGTAATGCTTAGGAAAGACATATCCTACTTGATTTTTTTTTTTTTGGCCACGCCATGTGGCTTGTGGGATCTCAGTTCTCTGACCAGGGATTGAACCCGGGCCAAAGCAGTGAAAGCCTGGAATTCTAATCACTAGGCCACCATGGAACTCTCTGTACTTGATTTTATAAGGCAAATAATGGGGAACAGGAGTGCTTCTATTTAAAAGACTATAATATTAAAAAAATTAAGAATGCTTTAAAGCTAAATGTTCTGCATACACAGAACAACTTTCTTGGGTTCAAACATAAATTGTCAATAGGAGAAAATAGTCTGTGAATTTCATTAACGTAGAGTACCTAACTGGCATGTGATACTGCAGTAGTATTTTGGAGATTGTTCCACAGTTAGTAAAGATAAGGCTAAAAGGTGCTTTTAGAAGCTGTGAAATAAAAAAATGTATGTATTAGTCTCTGGCCCTGCTCCTGGCACAGAGGTCTTAACAGCCTTCATAATTATCTAAGTGATAAGAGTACCAGAGGTATCTCTTGTTTTAATATTTGATCTTTGACCCTAATTCCAAGACACAGACCTCCTAAATCCTTTGGAATTTCTTGGGTGATAAGAGTGTCTTTTGTTCTCATGAGGCAACTCTTTGTGGGCCCCTAGATAGCTTCAGGATGGGAGCTGGTCACCACATAGATCAAACTATGATTAGAAGCTTGGAACTTTCAGCCCCATCACCCATCCTCCAGGAAAGGGAGAGGGGTCAGAGACTGAGTTAATGACCTATTATGACTATGTGATGAAGACTTCATAAAAATCCCAATACACAGGATTTGGAGAGCTTCTGGGTTGGTGGATAAGTAAAGGTGCTAGGAGAGTGGTGCACCTCGGAGGGTATGGAAACTCTATGCCCCTTCTCATATACCTTGCCCTACACATCTCTTCATGAGACTGTTCATCTCTTTTATTATATCCTTAATAATGAAACAGTAAACTTAAGTGTTTCCCTGAATTCTGTGAGCCCTTCTAGCAAATTATCAAACCCAAGGAAGGAGCATGGGAACTCTGATTTACAGCTATCTGTCAGAAGTAGAGGTGACAATGTGGGATTTGCAACTGGTGTCTGAAGTAGGGGCAGTCTTGTGGGACTGAGTCCGTAAGTGTGGGATCTGATGCTAACTCCAGACAGACAGTGTCAGAATTGAACTAAACTGTAGGACACCCAAGCTGGTGTCAGAGAAATGCTTGATAGGCGGAAACCCACACATCTGGTATCAGCAGCACTGTGTGGTCGAGTTGTGTAAGTAAAGGGGGAGCACAGGAGGGTTTTCCTATAGAGGCTTAATGCAAAACTATGTTAAAACCCGAACAAATAAGAAAAACTGCGTGAGAAAAAGCAGGTTAAAGCCCAAAGTTGAAAATTTCAATCCAGCTACTGAAAAATGTAGCAAGAGTTTCTTCATTTATACTAAGAGATGGAGTAGATGAGCTAGATGATTTTTAAGATAACTTACAGCTTTGTGACCATATGATTTAGGATTAATTAAAAATGATATTACCTAACACCTGAAACCAACACAAGATTGTAAATAAACTATACTCCAATAAAAATTTTTTAAAAAATGGTATTAACCTAATTCAGTGGTTTCCAACCTCAGAGACTGCCAAAGAAGGGAAAGCCAAGGGTCAGGGGCCAAGGCTCTAGCTATACCACCCTACTCTTGCCAGACCAATCAGTATAACTTCCCCTTATGCTAGCTATGTTTATTAGGGAAAGCGGGAATCGTAATGTTTTAAAAAAAAAAGTCTGAAAACTACCACCTAGATGAAATGAAAGTTGCATCAGATATACAGCAATCATAATATACAGGTTTCTAAGTAGATATATTTAATGACAACTGGGCTCCATTTACACTGATAATTATAAAAAATGTCAAACACTGTTGTAATTGAGTGATAAAGTATAAACCATTATGCACAATTACAGCAATATTCAAAGAGAATATTGTCCTATGATATACTTTGCAGAAACTTCCCAGAAATTTAAAGACAGACCATGGAAAAGAGGAATTCTACTGAAATTCCATCGTTTAAGAACTAATCACTATCATTTTTAAGTGCTGGAAAATATATTTACCTAGGGTCCCTACTGCAGAAGAGGTTGAGTTACCTTAAAGAAGCAAGGCAGTCAAAGCTGTGACACCACCCCCACCCCCAAATCCTGCTTCAACCAGAACAGCTCCGTTTCCATGTACACAGTGAATTTTTTGTTTGTTTGTTTTGGCGGTGCCAGTGCCTTGCAAGCCACATGATCTAAGTTCCCCAACCAGGGATGGAACCTGGGTCCCAGCAGTGAAAGCGCCGAGTCCTAACCACTGGACTGCTAGGGAATTCCCACAGATTGAATGTGTTAAAAACTTATGCTTGAAAAAAGAATCCCCTAGGCTTCCCTGGTGGCGCAGTGGTTGAGAGTCCGCCTGTCGATGCAGGGGACACAGGTTCGTGCCCCGGTGCGGGAAGATCCCACATGCCGCGGAGCGGCTGGGCCCATGGGCCATGGCCGCTGAGCCTGTGCTCCACAACGGGAGAGGCCACGGCAGTGAGAGGCCCGCATACCGAAAAAAAAAAAAAAAAGGAATCCCCTAGGAGCAGGAAAAGGCTCCCAACCTGCGCTCAAGTTGGAGACAACGCAGGTGTACAGTGTGGAGGAAGAGGCCCCACAGATGAACCAGTGTTAGAGCAGGCATCAAGCGTTAGAAGATTAGAAGACTGATGATTCAAGGCAGGACCTTGTGCTTGCAGCTGCTCCTGGCAATAGGTTTTCTAAAGCTAAAGCCAGTAATTCTCCTTGGAGACCGCAAAAACTATGTAAGGGGAAAAACCACGAAGAGTCAACTCTAAAGAACAAAAATCAAGTACAGCACAAAGTCTGACCTCCTAAACCAAATGACTTCAAATAAAAGTGCTGGTTAAGGCAACAAAGCAAACTCATTTTGTACTAAAATATATTAAGACATTAGCAGTATAAAATGTTTCCTTTTTGGTAAGGAGAAGGCAGTAAAGGAAGATGACTGGAGCAGGAAGGCACTGGGTGACAGATACCTTGCTTCTGAACGAGAAACAGGAGGTCCCACAGTATCATTATTAATCATACAGCTAAGGCTAGCTGCTCTATTCTATATGATAGAACACTTTAATCTTAAAAAAGCAAAGTCAAAAAAAATCTGTTTCATTATAATAGAGATTTTCTTGCAAAGAACTTTAACATAGTATTACTATTCAAAGATACGGGCATGAAATAAAATATTATACTTTTGGGACTCTGAAATGCTATTTTTAAAAATATCCTGACTAATTATATAAAATAGCTGAACATGGCTTATGATATTAAAACCTAAAGAAACAAAATATTAAAATAAAGATAGGAAAAGAGATAAAGGATACTCAGAAGGAGACAACAGACAAATGTCCCAGGAATCTGGGATGAAAGAGTTGTTATAACTGAGAACTTAATCTAATTCTTATCTTCTTAGTACCAAAAAGAACTATCTCAAGAGAGGAGAGTTAAAGACTTGCTTTGTAATTCTCATGAAAGCTGCTGTTGCCATGTACTTAATGTATCTCATAAATGTGACACTACTATCAACATTACAGTAAAATATTATCAGCTACTGTATACTAAGGTCAAGTATCTAAGATTCCACTTAGGCTGGTTCAGATGGTCAGCATGCCACCGACTAAGGGCTTAACACCTGTACTTTTAAGAAAGAAAACTTAGCAAATGAATGAATCTGGCTTTAATTCATATTTCTACCACTGAATTAATATGTTTGGCCTTGATCAACATCCTTTATTGGACACGAATGAATTAAAATTCATTTGGATTTCCACAGCAAGAACTCAAGCTCAGTTTTGTTCACATGCTATTATTTAACAGTTAAGCTCTAAGTTAACAATATGTTAAGTGTACACAAAATTTCATTCATTAACTTTCTAAATTCTCTTTCCTTCTTATACATCGTCAGTAGCAAATAGAACCTTTAAATATAAATTAAGCTTACAGTAAGGTTAAAAAAAGTATTGAAGAGAATTAATCAGATAACTGAATCAAAAGGAATGAAATCAAAAGGAAAGAATTTATCATTAGATACATTTTAAACATAACTCTCAATTACTTCAGACGTTCTGTGACACTACTTGTTAAAAATAACATCTCCCAACAGATCATTTCAGCCCACGATACTGTATTACTAACAGTTCCTTCTTTGTTTTTGTGATTTTACATTTGAGACAAAACAAAACTAGATCTTTCCTTTTCTCAATTATTAGGTCAAATCACAAAAATGTAGATAACATATACAATGCATGGTTTCTATGAGGTTGAACCATATGACTTTGCCAATATACAACTATTTTTGATACACAAAACCAGCAATTTTATATGGTTCAACTTAATACGAAAATTGGATGACACTAGTGGCTTTCCCCATTTGAAACAATTTCAACTTGCAATGTCTTTATAGGAACCTTTTACTTATAAAACTTAGAGAAGTTATGTAACTATTCATAGCACAATAATTAATTAAAAAAGAAACATTTCCATTACAACGTATAAAATAAAGACCTTCTAAGGATAAGATGATTAAATGCTATTGTGCCTTCAGATTTAAACAATAACTAAGCATTTCAACAGAAACTGAGAAATTCCATACTCACATGTTTAAAGCAGGTAACTGGAGCTGCTATAAAGCTATTGCTACTGATGTAGTTACCCCAGCTGAAACCTTCCATGGAGACTGCTACTGAAATAAAATAAATTTAGATATATTACAGTTCTCAAATTTGTAAGAAGGCTATTATTTTAAAATGTGAAATGACATAAATTTATCACCTCTAATGAAAGTTTCTTCTATAAAGACAGAACTTCTCTAAATAAACATGAACTTTAGCATATATCATATTTGCAAACAAATAGCAGTTTAACTCTTCTATATACAACATATGCTCCTGGGGAAGTGAGGCAAGAGCTCTCCAGTTATAAGAAACAAAGAACAGCGGAGAGCAGATACCTTCAGGATAACAAATGCTGTTCTGGCTGCTCTTGTGTTTTATTCCCACGCAGCTGTTACAGTGCACTTCAATGAGATTTCTATCCAGTATCCACCACCTAATAGCACCATAACTTGTGAACACTATTCTATTCTAGAATAATTTACTGAAACCAAAACCACTACCAGGAAGCCCAGTGTCATAATGTGCAAATACAGTACACAAATAGCTTAGTTAACAGAATCCAAAATTAAAATATTATTAATTAAAACTAGATGAATCAGTACCAAATATTTCACCTCTACTACATTCACCCATATTACCTGATTTAGTCTTTGCTTGATTTTGCAAGGTAGCTTGATACTGAGCATATGCAGCTAGTTTAGCAACTAAAGGTTGTTTCTGAAGAACTTTTGCTTTCTTTGTTGGAGGCTTACCCTAAAACAAGAAGAGTTAAGTAAATAGGATTCTTTCTCATCCTCCCACCCCCAAATCTGAAAACTAACTTGATTGCATACTACTCATTCTGCTTAAGTAAACATCGAGAGTTTAGAAAATTATTAAAGCAGAGGAAACATACAAGGAATTTTAACATGAGAAATGTTTTCTGGAGTTCTGCTACAATGTAGATACGTAATATGGGTAGCAGAGCTGGCACAGACTAAAATAGCAATATGCAAATTAATATGTTAATAAAAAATTATATCCCATAAGATGTTAAAATACAGGCTGTGGTGGATATTTCATTCCTTCTTGTACTAGATAAAACCAGTGGTTATTCACTCATGCAGGTTGCCAAGCATTGCTATTCATATAAGAAAAGATAATTTAATGTTTAAAGAGCAAGTGACTGAGGTTTATACCTTTAGCGCTAACGCAAAAGATCAATGACAAAATGATCATGGGCCAAATTCAGTGTGACAAACTGCCATCCATTTGGGTACAGACCATTGTTCAGGCTCTTTAGGTACTGTCTATCTGAAATATAGAAATACATCTAAGTGATGTATTTCCTTAACCTGGGGAATTTAAATAATCCTTTCAGTGCTATGTAATGATCACAATAAGGTAAAGAAGAATATGAAAAATGTGATCATTCAAATAAAATATATTACAAATATCAGTTATGTGATGCCTTTAAAAAGTTGTTTACATACTACAATAGTAATAACTTAGTCAAATGGCCAAATCTCCAGTCATTTTGTAGGCACTGACGTGCATTTACAGAAAGATGATTTGCCTTTTGTATTATGAATTTTTCCAAAAAGTTAGTTGGATTAACCAAATACACTTGGTCAAGGTATCAAATGGGTTACAATCAAAAACACAAACCAAAGATGATGGAAAAATAAAACCAAAGGGTAAATCATTCCCCCTCCCAACACTGAAAGTTTCTACTTTGATGTTAACTCCAGAGAAAACCAGGCGGAAAAATGGCTTCAATTCATATATATATATATAAAGATGTTTATTACATTTATACTTATTTAGAAAAAAGACACAAACAATTCATAGTTTATTTTGGATAGTATGCCTTCTCTATTTATAACAGCTACTCAATTTTATAGAATGAACATATTTCTTTAAAATGTGGGGTATAAAATGATAACTGGCCAATTGGGCAAAGGTGAAGTGCAACGAATCACAATCAAATGACAGATAAACAGTAAAAGCCATAGAAATAACAGATATAAAGAATAAGAAGGTTTCTGTACCGTTACCTGAAGTCTGGCCAAAATGCTTGCCTTCTTGGAGTTTGACGAGTAACTTCTTGAACATGAAACACTGCAGAAACGCTTTGTTTTAGAGTAAAAAGCATCTCGCACACCAACCATCCCACACATTTCGCAGGTAGCTAATTAACAAAAACATTGCTGTTACGATCATATAATAAAACCAGTTTTCATCTAACAGTTTAATAATTTCTCCAATTATCTAAAGGTTTTAATTTAAAAAATTTCTTTAAAGCAGATAGAAAATTTCTTCTATCCAATACATAAATGATATAAAAACCTAATAAAAGGTAGGGGAAAGACTGGGATGATACCACAGCTACAGGCTCCAGAAGGTCTGACAAGAGCTTAAGGTCTGAAAGGGCTTTAAAAAGGGTCAAAAGACTCACAAATATAAGTTAGATTCAACTAACATTTCCTTAGTGCTCACCTTGTGCCAGACATTATAAGCTCTGATGTTTGAAAGGATTATAAACAAAAGATTAAAAAAAGTGCAACACAACTGAAGATGAATACAAAGTGCAGCACAGGTCTTTAAAATACTGTAAAGACTGAAACATAAAAATGGCCAACTCAGAAAAATGCTAAAGGCAATATAAGGATTCTCTCAAGTTATATTCAGGAGACGAGAGAAACAGGAGAGGTTCAAAGCTTGAAGTACGTGCACTATTATTAACTGATAATAGAGGGCAACAAAACTCTAACCACTAGTGGGTCTCTTTTGTAAATTAGCATAATGGACAATAATTTGAAAGGCAGAATTAGAAGAACAGGGTAATAAGAAGTGAAGCTCAAAAAAGATACATAGGTTGTGGGATTGCTGAATTACACAACAGTTCTATTTTTAAATTTCTGAGGAATCACCATACTGTTTTCAATAATGGCTATACCGATTTACATTACCACCAAGAGTTTATAAGACTTCCCTTTTTCCACATCCTCCTCAACATTTGTTATCTCTTGTCTTTTTGATACTAGCCATCCTAACAGGTATGAGGTGATATCTCATTGTCGTTTTGATCTTCATTTCCCTGATGATTAGTGATGTTGAGCACATTTTCATGTACTATTGGCCATTTGCATGCCTTTTTTGGAAAAATGTCTATTCAGGTCCTTTGTCCATTTTTAAATTGGATTATTTGCTTTTTTGGCTATTGAGTTGTATGAGTCCTTTATATATTTTGGATATTAACCCCTTATCAAATATATGGTTTACAAATATTTTCTCCCACTCTGTAGGTTGCCTTTTCAATTTACTGTTTCCTTTGCTGAGCAGAACCTCTTTAGTTTAATGTAACCTCACTGCTTATTTTAGCTTTTGTTGCCTGTGCTTTTGGTGTCTTATCCAAGAAATCATTGCTAAGACCACCGTCAAGGAGCTTCTTTCTTATGTTTTCTTCTAGGAGTTTTATAGTTTCAGGTCTTACATTTAAGTCTTTAATCCATTTTCAAGTTAATTTTTGTGAGTGGTATAAGATAGGGATCCAGTTTTTCTTTTGCATGTGGACATCAAATTTCCCAACACCATTTACTGAAAAGACTATCCTTTCCCCATTGTGTGTTCTTGTTGCCCTTATCAAAAATTAGTTGATTGCAACTCAGTATCTTAAAGAGATATCTGCCCTCCCATGTTCACTGTAGCATTATTCACAATAGCCAAGTTATGGAAACATACTAAATGTCTTTTGATGGCTGAGTGGATAAAAAAAAAATGTGGTATATATCTATATCTATATCTCTCTACATAGATAGATATGGTATCCATATATATAGAATATTATTCATTAAATGGGAATATTATTCATTATAATTGAGTATTATTCAGCCATAAAAAGAAGGAAATATTGTCATTTCTGACATGGACAAAACTGGAGGGGATTATGCTAAGTGAAATAAGCCAGAAAGAGAAAGACAAATAGTGTACAGTATCACTTATATGTGGAAACTTAAAAAAAGAAAGCCCATTTCATAGAATGGTGGTTGCCAGGGGTACAAATTTTCAGTTATAAAAAGAATAAGTTGTGAGGATCTAATGTGCAGCATGGTGACTATAGTTAATAACACTACTGCATTGTATACTTGGAAGTTGCTGAGAGTGGATCTTGTGCTCACACCACACGCACGCACACACACACACACACATACACACTCAGTTAACTTTGTGAGGTGACAGATGTGTTAATTATCTTGATCTTGGTAATCATTCCACCGTATCCATGTATATCAAATCACCACATTTATAGACATTTATACATTTAAACATATACAATTATATTTGTCAATTATTCCTCAGTAAAGTTGGGGGAAAAAGATAACAGAGCAAACAACTATGTTGTTGAGTGGGTTGAGTGGGTTCAAATCTCCATCTAAACAGTTATAACTGGAGGAACTTACAGTTTAACCAGTAAGTTCTCATAACAAATTATGAGAAATCATGGAAAAAATGTAAGAAGCCAATGATAAGAGATAAACAAAGGGTGTCTAAGGGGAAAAAAGCCTGAATGATTTTCTGTTGTAAAAATTCTAGAACAGATTATTTAAAAGGTTTGTGGATCATCTAGGTAAAAAAAAAAAAAGCGATCCCAAGGGGAAAGTATATCTTTGCCAAGAACTAAACATGTCAAACTAGAATTCCCATGACCAGGATGTAAGCTCCACCAGGGAGTTTATTCTATATTGTTTCTATTTGTATCTGTAAAACAGAGTCTGGCATATATAAAGCTCCCTTTTGTTATAAGATTACCAGACTGGTATATCATAACTAAACCACGACAAGATGTATATTAACAGGAGTTAACACATTTGATAAAATCTCTCATGTAGCTTTGCCAGTAAGGATTGAGAAATTCAAGCTGAAGTAGAAAACACCTAGGTAGGTTTTAACTGGTTGGATGACCACACCTAGTGAGTCCTGATAAGTGAAGCTAAGTTCTTTGATATGATCTGCAGGACTCTGTACCAGGCCCTTCGATGCTCATGCTCAACGTTTTAATCAAAAGACTAGAATATAGGGCTTCCCTGGTGGTGCAGAGGTTAAGAGTCCACCTGCCAATGCAGGGGACACGGGTTCGAGCCCTGGTCCGGGAAGATCCCACTTGCCGCAGAGCAACTAAGCCCGTGTGCCACAACTACTGAGCCTGTGCTCTAGAGCCCATGAACCACAACTACTGAGCCCAAGTGCCACAACTACTGAAGCCCCCGCGCCTAGAGCCCGTGCTCCACAACAAGAGAAGCCACCCAATAAGAAGCCCGTGCACCACAACGAAGAGTAACCCCCGCTCGCCGCAACTAGAGAAAAGCCCACGCGCAGCAGCAAAGACCCAACACAGCCAAAAAAAAAAGTACCAATGTCATTAAAGGCCAAAGGAAACTAATTAAAAAAAAAAAAAAAAAAGACTAGAATATGACTTACAGGGCATTATTATCAAATCTGCAAATGACGATCAGATGACACTGCATTCAACATTAGATGAAAGAATTAGGAATAAAATATTTCTAAGACCAAAATTTAGTAAGAAAAAGGTTACATGGAGAGTTTTAAAGTCTTAACACCTTGGGTTTAAAAAATCAACTGCAAAAGTGCAAGACTGATTTAAATTGGTCTAGTTCATGTGGTTTCAGTTATTTGCAAATTCAGTATTAGTTTTAAAAAAGTTAAAGCAGGGCTTCCCTGGTGGCGCAGTGGTTGAGAGTCCGCCTGCCGATGCAGGGGACGCGGGTTCGTGCCCCGGTCTGGGAAGATCCCACATGCCGCGGAGCGCCTGGGCCTGTGAGCCATGGCCGCTGAAACTGTGCGTCCGGAGCCTGTGCTCCGCAACAGGAGAGGCCACAACACTGAGAGGCCCGCATACCGGACAAAAAAAAAAAAAAAAAAAAAAAGTTAAAGCAATTTTGGTGGCCTGAATGGAAACACAGTGTCGTAAAAAAAGGAGATAAAAGCTGAACTACCTTCTGTCCTAATCACACGGGGTGACCAACTATTTGCCTGAGGTCCTTTTCCAGGATGTGGGACATTTAATCCTAAAACCAGGACAGTCTCAGGCAAGACAAGTTGTCACCCTACTACCACATAATCTGAAGTATTCCCAGAAGAAAGTGAGCAGGATACTGATGAATTAAATCACTGATGCTGAGAAATGACTGAAGCAATTAGGTTTACTTAGTGTGTCCTAGAGACACCCTAGAAATAAGTGTTGTAATGTGATGGGAAGAGATGTCTTTGTTACAGGGATTAGAATCATTCTGTGTACCTTTAAAAATCAAAATTAAGACCAAAAGACAAAAGTTAGAGCAAGGATAATTTTGGTTCAATATAAAGGATATTCTGGTAATTAGAGATACCCTATCGCCAAAGTGTTAAAACAGAAAACTTATAAGTAATCGTTAAAGAGAAGGGAGACTTAACCTTGAAAGTCTCTTTCAACTCTGTAATTCTATTATCTTACACACTTCCAATTACATAGGGATTTATTATTTAATTATGGAACTTAAGTCCCATTAAGTTTCTCAGCTGCCTTTTGTTTTCATTTTTTTCTACTTGTTTTCTACCAGCAGGTGGTAGGTATGCAAAATAATGAGATCTAACACAAACCCAGTGATCTTATCTAGAACTATAAGTTTCAGACTGTGTTTCTTCAAACTGTTCTTTAAAAATTCTAAGGGAAATGACAGGAGAAATGGAATCAAAACATACCCTCAAGTATAAAGGTGTGTAACAGGTGAAGGCTGTTCACCTGAGCTGAAGTATATACTCCATACTCACCCATGCCAGATTTACCATCTGGGTATGTGTACACTTGGCCATTGTTTTTGATAATTGGCAGATTAGAAGGTAAAGGAGCAACTTCCTCTTCACTCTCCTCAGAGCTGGAGCTGCTACTCGTGTCCTCACTGCAGCTATCATAACCGTCAAACATCCCGAAAGAGTCTCTTCTTTTCCTTTCGGATCGTGAAGAATGTTCAGTCTTAAAAGTAGAAGAAATCAGTAACACATGACACAGCACTCATGTACACTACCTAAAAGATCTTAGTTCAAATTGTGATAAATAAGATTTGAAAAATGAAAATCTAGCCCTGAGAATTGATAATTTTATTTTATAATGAAAAGCTAAATGTTTGTGTCAAGTGGAGCCCTCCACTTCCATGAGGCACAAATCTATTAGCTACCATGTTAGCTATAAGGAGTAACAACAATGATGGAAAAAACACTAAATGGGAATCAGAAGATCATCATGTAATTAAAGTTTTGCCGTAAACTAGATATATCACTTCTCTATAAAATGCGATTAGATCAGATGATTTTTTTTTAAACTGTGGTGAAATACACATAACAAATACCTATTTCAAAAATTATAGAAGACAGCATTTCTACATGTAACACTATTTCATTTTTTTAACATACATAATTAGAAAAAAACCCAATCATCTCCAGCTAAACACTATTTCCTTTTCAAAAGAAAAAGCACAAAGATACTATATGTCATGTTCAGCAAATGCTACTCATATGTTCCTCCCAAAATGTTCCCTCACTCAAGCCACCAAAAAACCCCCCAACTAACACCTACCACCACTCCAACTTTTCCTGAAATCAATTCCAAAACTTCAAGTTCAGTGAGAAGAAAGTTAAAAGAAAGCAGGGAAAAACAAAGAGAAAAAATAAACGGAATATTTGAAATGAAAAAAATCAAACCATCACTAAACATACCAGTGAGTTACAAGTAGAGTGAAAACCATCAACCAAAAAATCTTTAGAGTTTGGTGCCTATCTTATCCTTTTGCTTCAGTTATAATTTTTTTTGTATCATCTTCCACCTTATGCACAATTTCTTCTCTGGCTAGTTTAACGTCTTAACATGACCAATAACAAAGCTGAAATCTGTTGTCCAAAGTTTGACAAGATAAAACCATCCGAATGCACATCTTAGTTTTATTGAATAAACTGTCATTTTCAGATATGCTTGTATTAAACATTTGCTTTGAGATGGGGAACTGATTTTCATTTGTATCAGGTGTAACTATGAAAGCAACAAAACTAGTTTCTTAATACACGCAATGGAAATATTATATACTCAAATGAATACTGTCTTTTAAGAAGTCCCCTTGGGAGGCTCTACAAATGTTCTACTAATATTGCCACAACTTCTAACTCTTTTTTTTTTTTTTTTTACTATTCTTCTTTCAGAACTCTCTTTTAGCCCCAATTTAAAAAAGAAAAGCCGACTGAGGTCACTTTAGAATATTCCCCCCTCCCCCACTATTGGTTTCCCCAGCCCGATTATTTAGCAGATTTGGTTCTGAATAGCTTTGTTATTTCTATAAATTACATGTATCTTCAAAGAATCAAAATCTGCTACCACCAGGAGATTTCAAAAGAATAAAGACTCTGAACGCAATTCAAAAGGAAAAGTCTAACAATATTTTGAACTGGTAAGGTGGCAGGGAATAGGACAATGCTTGTTTAGATAAAGTATGGTACTAGCAACACAGAATTCTGACAGACCCAGGTTTGAGACTCAGCTTTGTGATTTATTAGCTGTGAACTTGGGCAAGTGATGAGTTTCTTTCTCTTATTCATTCAACAGTCAACAACTATTTATCAAGCATCTGTGTGTCTCACAGTAAGAGAGGTTAAGTGAGATCAATGGTTCTCATAAGGTTATAGTCAACTGGTGGGAGAAATCCAAGCAAGACCATGTGATAATACAGTAATAAGGCAAGTGTAGTCAACTGAGATTCGGTGGTGAGGAAAGACTCTGAGGACAAAAAAGGCAGCCACTTGAATATCTGGTGCTGGAAGGAAAGGGCAAGACAAAGGTTTTTGGGCTGGAACATACTTGGTGCATTGAAAGGCCAATGTGGCTGGTGTCCAGTGTGAGAGGTGTGGGAGATGAGGTTGGAGGAGGATGCAGTGGGCAGATCACCAGGGCCCTTGAAGGCTAGGTTAAAGTTTGATATATTTTCTTCCTGAGGGCAACATAAAGACACTACGAAATATTTATCACAATGCCTGGAATATACATTTAGTAAACACTGGCTAGAATTCTAAATTCTAATAAATTCATACACCCTAACTCCATACAGAGATGATCTTTTACATCCACAGTTTTCATATAAGTTTGTCGTCCACTTTATAAGCAGCTTGGTTAGCAGCTAACATATTTACTGATCCTGAAATGTCAACACAGAATATCTTATTCTGACTCAACTTGTTAGAGAATATAAACTTAAAATTTCAGGGACCCAATGATTACAATCATTTTGGTTTCAATAAGTATAGGCTGTTAACATTTTTTTAAAAGTATTATGGTCAAATACACTTGGGAAATTTTCCTTACTTCAAAGCCCTCTTCGAACCCTTAAGATGCTTGTGAACATTACAATAATTTAAGAGGTATATATAATATGCAGTGTTTTCCAAAGCATCTTTTTTTTTTTTTTTTTGGTACGCGGGCCTCTCACTGTTGTGGCCTCTCCCGTGTGGAGCACAGGCTCCGGACGCGCAGGCTCAGCGGCCATGGCTCACGGGCCCAGTCGCTCCGTGGCATGTGGGATCTTCCCGGACCGGGGCACGAACCTGTGTCCCCTGCATCGGCAGGTGGACTCTCAACCACTGCGCCACCAGGAAGCCCCCAAAGCATCTTTAAGGACTAATGTTCTAGAGAGATGCTCTCTATATCAGACCAAAACTCCTGAGGGGGCTGCAACTTCAATATAAGTTGTAAAATGGGTGGGAAAAAAACTGACTACATGCAGGGAGTTCCCTGGTGGCCTAAGTGTTAGGATTCCAGGCTTTCACTGCGGTGGCCCGAGTTCAATTCCTGGTCGGGCAATTGAGATCCCAGAAGCTGCACAGCTCGGGGACCTACAAAGGAGCCTTTCTGTCCATGCTCTGGGTGGAGAGGCTTCTCTGGGATTTTGCAACCAAAGACCTGAGGTTATAACTTATCCTACCCTAGATGGTCAGAAAATTCCCATGTCAAGAAATTAAAGTGGTTCTAGGATACCAGTGCCCCTTGACACCCAGCAAAAGCAATCCTAAATCATTTCAGAAATAATCACCTACAATTCCGGCCTTTCAGCATTTCCACAGATTTTTATCAAATATCAGTACACAATCAAATATCAAACACACAATAAGCGGTCCACCGCAAGCGTCAGCAGAAATAGATTAGATATCCCAAATAGTTAGGCACTGGAATTGCCAGAGACAGAATATAAAATAACCATACAAGAACTAAGAAGAAATAAAAAATGTTATTGAAAAATGAACAGAGAATACAAAGCAATCAGAAAGAACCAAATGTCATTTCTGTAAATGAAAAATACAACTGCTGTAATTAAAAAAAAAACACAAAAAACCTCTAAATGGATTAGACATGCCTAAAAAATAATTGGGGAAATGGAAGATAAACATTAAGAAAGAACCCAAAATAGCAAAGAAGAACAGAAACATAGAAACTAAGAGGTTAAAAGAGCACTGAATGTAAAGATCTAATAATAAATGTCAATAAGAATTCTCAAAGGAGATGGACTTCCCTGGTGGCGCAGTGGTTAAGAATCTACCTGCCAATGCAGGGGACATGGGTTCGAGCCCTGATCCGGGAAGATCCCACATGCTGCGGAGCAACTAAGCCTGTGCACCACAACTACTAAGCCTGCGCTCTAGAGCCCGCGAACCACAACTACTGAGCCCGAGTGCCACAACTACTGAAGCCCTCGTGCCTAGAGCCTGTGCTCCGCAACAAGAGAAGCCACTGCAATGAGAAGCCCGCACATGGCAACGAAGAGTAGCCCTTGCTCGCTGCAACTGGAGAAAGCCCGCATGCAGCAACGAAGCCACAACACAGCCAAAAATAAATAATAAATTTATATATATATAAACAAATTCTCAAAGGAGAGACTATGGAGAATGGAAAAAGGTAAAGCTGAATGAGATACTGGCTGAAAATTTTGAAGAAATAACAAAAACATGAGTTCACAGATAGAACTACAATATATGTTAAGCACTACGATATATGTTAAGCACAACAAAAAGATATCCACATCTAAACAGATCACAGTAAAAGTGCAGGAGACCAGAGAGATTTTAAAAGTAACCAATCACAACAGTGAACCTCACTAGTCAACAAGCCCAATTTAGGCACATTTAGTCCCATCAGCTGCTTAGTAACTAACCATTAAATATGAATAAACAGGCAAGGATTACCAGTCATTTGTGAAAGGCCTCTTAAAAATGTGAAAGACCAGGAACTTCCCTGGTGGTCCAGTGGTTAAGACTCCTCGCTCCCAAGGCAGAGTGCCTGGGTTCAAGCCCTGGTCGATCCCTGATTGGGGAACTAAGATCCCACATACTCCAACTAAGCACTTGTGCTGCAACTACTGAGCCTGCGCACCTCAATGAAGAGCCCATGTGCCGCAATGAAGACCCAGTACAGCCAAATTAATTAATTAATTATTTTTAAAATTAAAAAAATTAATTAAAAAAATGTGAAAGACCAAAACAAATCTTCAGAAAAAAGAATCTACAGGAAATAGAAGTAATACAGGGAGCAAAAGAAAACTTCAAAAATAAAATTCTTCAGAGAAATATAATAATAGGATGCTATCAGTGAACAAGACAGATCTTGGAATTTAAAAAACAGAAGAGGCAAAATAATAAATTAATACATGGATAGTAATATCAAGGAAATCTTTCAAAAAGCATGTGTGTATGTGTATACATGAGACAAGTAGGTAGATAATAAAAGAGAAAAGATAAAAGTTAAATACAGAAGACACAAAATCCAAAGAATAGAGATACTGAAGAAAGAAAACAGATAGGAACAAAGAAAAAAATACAACAAGAATTCCAGGATCAAAAGACAGAGTTCCTATACTGAAGTGACCACACAAGCCCAGCTTAATGACTTAAAAAAACCCCAAACTATACCAAGGTACAGCCTTATAAAGGATGTACATCTATACT